AGCCGAGATTGCGCCATTGCACTCTAGCCTGGGCAACAAGAATGAAACTCCGTCTCTAAATAAATATAAAAATGCCTTAGAGCCTAGGTTAAAAAACAAATGAACCAAAAAACAAAACAAAAAACACCCAAAACCAGATGTGGTATATACATATAATGGAAAATTATTTAGCCAGAAAATGGAATGAAATTCTGATCCATGCTTACAACATACATGAATCTTGAAAACGTTCTGCTAAGTGAAATAAGCCAGACACAAAATGACAAATACTGTATGATTCCATTATATCAGATACCTAGGAAAGATAAATTTATAGAGACAGAAAGTAGACTAGAGGTTCCCAGGGACTGGGAGGAGGGAAATGAGTTACTGTTTAGTTGCCGTTTAATGGGTACAGAGTTTCATTTTGGGATGATGAAAAAGTTCTAGAGCTAGATGGCTGTGATGGTTATACAACAAAGTAAATATACTTAGTGCCACTGAACTGTATACTTACAAATGGTTAAAGTGGTAAATTTTATGTATATTTTACCACAGTTGGTTTTGGTTGAGAAATAATAAGCCAGTGGTGTGAAACCCACATTTGAGAGCCTCTGAGACAAGCGCATATTGCATTAGGTAAAAGCCCCTTTTATAGAAAAACTGGGTTGTACTTTCCTGGCTGTGGGTGATGGTGAGTGTGATTGTCATTCTCCTTGACCATGACCTAGAGTTCCTCCTGCTTGAGAATGTGGTACACCACTTCAAGTACCCCTGTGTGTTGGACCTGAAGATGGGCACGCGGCAGCACGGCGATGATGCATCAGCTGAGAAGGCAGCCCGGCAGATGCGGAAGTGTGAGCAGAGCACATCAGCCACACTGGGTGTCAGGGTCTGTGGCATGCAGGTGAGTTGCCTCTGCTCAGAGCCTAGGTGCTGCCACTTGCATGATTTGGGTTGTGCTCATACCTGCCTGCCATCTATGCCAAGTGTGTCCTCCTGAGCTCTCTGTCCTTACCTGTTGACCTTAATCTGGGCCTCAGGTGCAGGACCACTGTGAGAGTCTGCTGCCTCGACACTGGGACAAGTAAGACTCTTGCCTGTCAACAAGATGTTCTGATGTTGGAGGAGGGCTCCAAAGCTGGTGGCAGGGAACCCATAGGCCTCGTATTGCTTTCTCTTGGCTCTGCAATGGGAAAACCCAGGGTGAATGTGGCCTGCCTGGTTCCACTTAGATAGGTGAGCAGAAAAGCTCAGGTTGGTCAAAGTGCCTTCCAGACAGTGCCTGCCCAGGGCACTGTGAGCTCTTCAGACTTCCCTGGTACTTACTCTGTCTCCTGGGGTTTCAGGTGTACCAGTTGGACACAGGGCATTACCTCTGCAGGAACAAGTACTATGGCCGTGGGCTCTCCATCGAAGGCTTCCGCAATGCCCTCTATCAATATCTGCACAATGGCCTGGACCTGCGACGTGACCTGTTTGAACCTATCCTGAGCAAACTGCGGGGCCTGAAAGCTGTGCTGGAGCGTCAGGCCTCCTACCGTTTCTACTCCAGTTCCCTGCTTGTCATCTATGATGGCAAGGAGTTCCGGGCTGAGTCCTGCCTGGACCGCCGGGCTGAGATTCGTCTCAAGCACCTGGACATGGTGCTCCCTGAGGTGGCGTCATCCTGTGGCCCCAGCACCAGCCCCAGTAACACCAGCCCCGAGGTGGGTCCCTCCTCTCAGCCCAAGGTGGATGTCCGCATGATTGACTTTGCACACAGCACATTCAAGGGCTTCCGGGATGACCCCACCGTGCATGATGGGCCAGACAGAGGCTACGTGTTTGGCCTGGAGAACCTCATCAGCATCATGGAACAGATGCGGGACGAGAACCAGTAGGCCCTGTTCTGGGCCCCCAGAACCCCTTCCTCTCCACCCGCAGGCAGGGACCATTGCTCTGAACTCGCCGTGAGGACACACAGACTTGCTTTTAAAGGGTTATATTTCTCTTTGGTGTAAACTGTTTTTAGCTATAGCCTGGATCCATATATATAAAGTGAAGGAGGGCAGAACACACATCCTCTTAGTCAGGCTCCTCAGCTTTGTGGCTCTGACTGCTGTGTCCTGGCTGCCTTAGGAAGGAAGAGGTGCCCCAGGTGGGCTTGGCAGCAGGGACAGGGTGCCCTTGGACATTGGTTTCTGTTGTCTAGATCTTTGAGAGCTGTGGCTGCAGGGCCCTACTGATTGTAGGGTAAAGTCCTGGGCTAGTGCAGGGCCCTTCCATGCCCATTCTTCCCTTGTTCCCCAGAAGTAGAGGGGTTTGTGTGCCCATTTCTTGGGGGCTTTGCAGTCTTATGTTGTGGGTGTCAGCTAGCTCTTTAATAAGTGCCCTCAGGGCACCACAGGGCTGACTGCACAAACCTGGACCCATCCTTGGGTCTGACCTTAGCATGGGGCTAGATTAATGAAGCTGGGCTGAGGCCAACTTATGGCCAAGGGTAGGCCCTGGGTTCCCCAGGCCCCTTTCGTATTCCTGAAACAGCCAGCCTCTCCAAATTCCCTTGCCTAAGAAGGCCACTCCCTCCTACCCCACTGAAGTGGGGGAGAGTCAGTGTCCCAGCAGGTCTCAGGGCCTCTGGTTGCTGTGGCCCAGACAGTATTTGCAGTTCTTGTGCTATGGGTGGGAGTCTTCCTCCTCAAGTTTTGGCAGCTGTGCTGCCACTAGACGGGCTGCTCCTCCCAGGGCTCAGGGACTGTGGTCCGCTCAGGGTCTCATTTCCCCAGGCCAAGTTCAAGGCAGCAGCCCTTTGTGAGGCGCTCTTGGCCCTGGGCCTAGAGGGAGAACTTTTAAGTTTTTTTTGCTCATGGGGACATGGTATGGGTGCAGGTGCCCACATTCTGCTAAGGAGAGCTTTGTCTGATCAGTTCTGGGTCCATCAGTTTGTCCATGTGTCCACCTGCCAGCCCCTGTCCCTCGGGATCCTTCCCTGGGGTGTAGCCTTGCTCATTAGTGTATATTCATTCCTTCATGCTTTCCTCAGCAGAATGCTCACTCTCCCGTTTCTGAGGTGAGCTTTTGCCCCGTGCCCTTTCTCTGCAGGTGTTGCCTTTTTATAAAGACCTGATAGCAGAATAAATTGTAGGTGTTGTTTCCCCGTTGACCTAGCACCCTTTCTGTGGGCCTAGAATATGGCTGTCAACACTGACAGTGGGGCAGTGAAGGCTAGATGGGTGGCCCTTCCTTTCTTATGGTTTTAGTCATTTTGGCTGCCAGCCCTTAGTGGCACAGACCTGCTGCTTCTAACACAGATGGCCAGGAGGTGATACCTATTTCAGCCATTGCCAGCGTTAGCACCCTATCCACGGAGCCCAGGGCCACTGTTCATTGTCAATTTAGGCAGGTTCCTACTTGGAATTAAAGGAAAGCCTGCCAGCTGTGATAGGCTTTGGTAACTGATGGACTCGTTTCCCGGTCCTTAGAGATGCAGCCTTTTAAGGGCTCCTTGATGGATACCATCTCTCCTAGCTCCCGGCCCTGGTGCCAGCGGTGGGCAGGTTCCCATTCTTTGGGGCTGGGAGGGACAGCTTGCCTGTTTCTGGTCAGAAATTACGGTCTTTTCTCATGTACCATTCTGTGGCTTCAGCCACGGGGGCAGGAGCCCTTGATTAGTGTATAGACAGTCATCCCTGGTAGGGTGGAGGATAAGACATAGGGTCTAGAGCTGTTTGGGACCTTCAGGGGATGTCCTGTGCCTCCCAGGTTCCTAGATTCTGGGAGGAGAGGCTGTGGCATTCTACTGCGCCTCACAGCGAGCAAAGATGCACCCACTTATCAGTATTTTCTTGGCATTAAAAAGAGTGAAAAGGCCTGGGATTTGCTGCTCTTCCCCTAGAGCAGGGCCCCTCCTTTCAGCACTTTGGACACCTGGAGACCCAGCCCTGTTATTTCACGGTAGTGGGCAAGTGTGTGCGCATACTGTCTGCCACTGCTTTCTCCCTACCCCATGCCAGAGAGCTCTGTCCCTGCCAGGCCCCGCCGCCTTAGCCCCAACTTGGGACCAAAGTGCAACGTGGATCATGGGTTGGGGTGCTCAGGTGACCCCTCTCTATAGTGCTTCCCTGGGCCAAGCTGACACCAGTTCCTGAGGGTGGGGTGGGACGGGTGGTGCTTAAAAGGGGAAGGGGACCAGTGTAGCAACTTGCCAGGGACCCCACCCCCCTCCCTCTCTGGGCCTGTGCAATGGGCGTGGGGATTCCCATCAAGGGGCCTGGCGCCTGTGCTAGTTCCGTAGCTGCTGCTCACCGCTCACTCCTGGCCACATGCACGTTTCCTAGATGCATATTGCTTTTAACTTTAAAGCTGTACAATTTGGTTATGTTTGTGCTGACTTGAAAAATACTTTAATGAGGAAAAAAAATGGATAACCCTGGGAAGAACCTGGTTCTTTGCTTCTCGGGGAACTGTAAGCCCTCGCATTCTGGGAATGGCTCTCTGCTCCTCTTTCCCGGAAGCTAAGCCTGTTCCCACCGCCGGAGGCCCGCGCCCGGACACTACCTGTGGCTGCCCGTGCAGCTGCGTTTGTTCTGGACCTTGCGTGCGGTGGAGGGGTGCTTGGGCCGAGCCCAGTCCTTTCTGTACACCTAGCGCTACCCGCCCCGCTTGTGTCTGAGGTCGTGTATGTCAAAAATAAAGCCGCTAGAAGCGGAGGCGAGTCTGTCTCTTTGTGAAAATTACTCAGCCCGGAAGCCTTCCCTGTTCTCCCTTCCCCGGGCTAAGGCCGATGGGCGGGTCCTAGAGCGGGGCGGGACCGGCGTCCTTTGGACCACGCGGAGCAGGGAACAAGGCCTCGCCCTTGGCGCCATTTCCGCCTTTGCATCCGCCAATGGCCAGCTGACCCGCGGGTCCCGACCCGGGTCCCCATGGCAGCCTAGCGCGCTCGAGCGCTCATTGGCTACGTCTGTCGCAGCGCCGCGCCCCAGCGCTCCGACGCCGGCGGCCGTGCCACGTATGCGGCAGCCGATTGGCCCGCGGGGGTTGCGTCACTGCCCGCGCCGGTCCGGCTTGAGTTCGGGACCAGCCGCCGTCCATCTGGCGTTTCCTGCTGGGTTGTGGTGGCCCTGGATCCGGCGTCAGGGCGACCGGGCGGACAAGGTGGAACTAGAGTCAGTCAGGCGGGTTGGTGAAGGGCACGGGGCCGGGCACAGCGTTGGGAGTGCGCGGCAGGGGCCGGCCAGGCGGGCTGCAGGCACCTCAGGGCCCGGCACACCCTTCCAACGCCCGGAGGCGCGATGAAGGCATTGATATTAGTGGGGGGCTATGGGACGCGGCTACGGCCGCTGACGCTGAGCACCCCGAAGCCACTGGTGGACTTCTGCAATAAGCCCATCTTGCTGCACCAAGTGGAGGCACTGGCCGCGGTAAGACCCAGAATTGGGATCGAAGTCGCGTTCGGATCCGGCGGGACTAGGGATGGCCAGCGACTAGGGGTCAGGGGCTCCCCTACCTTCTGACTGAGCCCGCCTGTCGGCCTGCGTTCTGACAGGCAGGCGTGGACCACGTGATCCTGGCCGTGAGCTACATGTCGCAGGTGCTGGAGAAGGAAATGAAGGCACAGGAGCAGAGGGTGAGGCAGAGACTCTTGGCCCTTACCCTCGGTCCCCGCCCAACTTCCCACCCTGGTAGAACCTGACTTGGGGGGCCTCTTCCTTCTAGCTGGGAATCCGAATCTCCATGTCCCATGAAGAGGAGCCTTTGGGGACAGGTCAGTAGAGACAGGAAAGTCTCTTGGGGAGGGTTTAGGGCCAGGAAAAGGGTAAGACCCAGCCTGGATTGGCCTGCTGAGCCTGAATCAGGGACTCAGACCTCCAGCAAGGTGGTGACCTGTCCCCTTCCCCCAGCTGGGCCCCTGGCACTGGCCCGTGACCTACTCTCCGAGACTGCAGACCCTTTCTTCGTCCTCAACAGTGATGTGATCTGCGATTTCCCCTTCCAAGCCATGGTGCAGTTCCACCGGCACCATGGTCAGGAGGGCTCCATCCTGGTAAGGCGCCAGGTCTTTTTTCTCTTGACACTTCCGCCCTCCATGCCCAGCCTCCCCTGCCCCCTAGCCTTCATTTGCCTTCGGATGTTATGGGTACAGAGCTGTGCAATATATATCTTTAAGCACTTGGGGCAGAGTCTGAGATCTGGGACAGCATGTATATCAAGGCTCAGGAACACTGGACTAGTGTTCCCTTCCTTGCATTCAGGTGACCAAGGTGGAGGAACCCTCCAAGTACGGTGTTGTGGTGTGTGAGGCTGACACAGGCCGCATTCACCGGTTCGTGGAGAAGCCGCAGGTGTTTGTGTCCAATAAGATCAATGCAGGCATGTACATCCTGAGCCCTGCGGTGCTGCGGCGCATCCAGGTGTGTAGAAGACACCTGTTGGTGGGCTGGGGTGGGGGCAGGCCATCACTGCCATGACCCTGCTCACAAGCTGCCCACTCCCACAGCTGCAGCCTACGTCCATTGAGAAGGAGGTCTTCCCTGTTATGGCCAAGGAGGGGCAGCTATATGCCATGGAGTTGCAGGGTGAGGTAGGGAGGCCACAGGGTGGGGGTGGTCTGTGGCTGGGCTGAGGCCCCTGATACATCCCTCCCTACAGGCTTCTGGATGGACATTGGGCAGCCCAAGGACTTCCTCACTGGCATGTGCCTCTTCCTGCAGTCACTGAGGCAGAAGCAGCCTGAGCGGCTGTGCTCAGGCCCTGGCATTGTGGGCAACGTGCTGGTGGTGAGGCCCTTGCCCAGCCCATGATTAACCTCCCAGTCTTGGGAGACAAGTGGCCCACTTGTATTTCTCCCACCACTCTCAGGATCCAAGTGCCCGCATCGGCCAGAACTGCAGCATTGGCCCCAACGTAAGCCTAGGACCTGGTGTGGTGGTGGAGGATGGTGTGTGTATCCGGCGGTGCACGGTGCTGCGGGATGCCCGTATCCGCTCCCACTCCTGGCTTGAGTCCTGCATTGTGGGCTGGCGCTGCCGTGTGGGCCAGTGGGTAAGCCTGTGGACTGGGCTACATGGGGAGAGGGCCGGGAGAGGGGCAGGAGAGGGGTGGGGAATGTGCCCGCATCCCTGACAGGGCCTATCCTCTCCTGGAGGTTCGCATGGAGAATGTGACAGTGCTGGGTGAGGACGTCATAGTTAACGACGAGCTCTATCTCAACGGAGCCAGCGTGCTACCCCACAAGTCTATTGGCGAGTCAGTGCCAGAGCCTCGCATCATCATGTGAGGGGATGCAGTGGGGCTGGCCGAGCCCCGGTTTTCCAATTGGCAAGGGGAGTGCTGGCCTGACACATCAGAAGACCCTGGACTTCTTTTAATTTGTCTGAGGGGCATTGGATGAAGCTGAAGCCGTTGGACACCTGCCTTCTCATGTGTGGACACCATCTGGCAGGATCCCTGCTGGGCACACCCAACAAACCCCACTCCCTCAAGAAGGGCCAGGGCCAGGGCTGTATGGAATAATAATTTAATGCTCACTGTGGCCCTGACTGAAAGTCAAGCTCAGGCACAATTAGGGCCATGGCTGGGCTCCCACCAATGAAACAGGCAGGCACGGGGGTTGGATGTGGTGGTGGTGGGTACAGGAGAAGGGCAAAGGGAGCTCATAAATAGGGCCCAGCCTGGCTCTGGGTTCAAGGGTGGAGGTTCCAGGATGGCAGGCTGAGAGCTAAGCAGCTGAGGAGGTAGTGCTCGTACTGGCTGCCTTCTCCCAGTCCTCTACAGACACGATGGTGGCTTTGCAGAAGAAGCAGTCCTTGTTGTTCATCAGGTGTTGGTTGATGCAGGCTCTACAACAGGGGAGGGGATGAGGACTGCATGGCATGTACAAACTGCTCTCCCCACCACCAAGCAGTGGGGTCCACTTACTTGCAGGACTTGTGGCCACAGGGCTGGAACACAGCAGAGATGGGGTGGGCATAGCAGATGGGGCAGAGGTCCTCCTCACTGGTGGGCTGCAAGAAGGAAAATGAAGAGTAGGCTGGAGTTGGATGCCCAGCTATGTGGATGTCTGCTGTGCCTATGTAGAAGGGCACACATATTCAAGTGGGTTGGGCCTGTGTGCTGTGGGTCCACTCACCAGGGAGGCAGCTGCTGCCTGGGCAGATGCAGAGGTCAGGTGCGCCAGCATCTGTTCCACCTGAGCCAGCTCGTCGGCACTGATATAATCTGCATCTGGGAGCGGTAGGTAGTGTCAAGCCAGAGGTAGCTGAGGATGTGGTGCCTCTTGAATATTTCCAGCCTAGAACTTTGCTTTTTTTTTTTTTTTTTTTTTTTAGATAGTCTTGCCATATCGCCAGGCTGGAGTGTAGGGGCGCAATCTCGGCTCACTGCAACCTCTACTTCCCAGGTTCAAACGATTTTCCTGCGTCAGCCTCCCGAGTAGCTGGCACTATAGGCATGTGTCACCATGCCCAGCTATTTTTTTTTCTTTTTTTTTTTTTTTTGAGACAGAGCCTTGCTTTGTCATCCAGGCTAGAATGCAGTGGCCTGATCCTGGCCACTGCAACTTCTACCTGCCAGGTTCAAGTGAGTCTCCTGCCTCAGCCTCCTGAGTAGCTGGGATTACAGGCACCCACTACCATGCCTGGCTAATTTTTATATTTTTAGTAGAGACGGGGTTTCACCATGTTGGTTAGGCTGGTCTTAAACTTCTTCTGATCTCGTGATCCGCCCACTTCGGCTTCCCAAAGTGTTGGGATTACAGGTGTGTGCCACTGTGCCTGGCTTAATTTTTGTATTTTTAGTATAGACGGGGTTTTACCATCCAGGGTTGGCCAGGATGGTCTTGATCTCCTGACCTTGTGATCAGCCCACCTTGGCCTCCCAAAGTGGTTGGATACAGGTGTGAGCCATTATGCCTGGCCAGACTGCTGTTCTTAAAGCTCCTGACCTGATTCAGCCCTGGATCTCCCTGACCCACCCCACTACCTCACTCACAGCTCTGCAGGGAGAAGCGCTTCCGGTCAGGGGCTGGCAGGGTAGTGCCAGGTGCTGGGGGCTCTGGCTGTCCCAGGAGATAGCATATTGAACGGAGCTGGAAGCAGGGATCTGCCAGGAGCACTGATGTGGCTCGTTCTCTCCTAGGTAGGGGAGGGTGCAAAGGCAGTCAGAAGTCTTGGGGTCTGGCTAAAAGTCCCTATTGGGATTGCCAATGAGGAGTGCCATGGCTCTTGCATGATCATTTCCCCCCCCCCCCATCCTTTCCATCTCCCTGCTTCTGAAACCCCAAGTCCTGGATTCTAGTAAAGTGCCACACAATCTGGGTTACCACTTTTTTTTTTTTTTTTTGAGATGATGGAGTCTCTGTCACCCAGGCTAGAGTGCAGTGGTGCAATCTCGGCTCACTGCAACCTCCGCCTCCTGGGTTTAAGCGATATTCTCCTGTCTCAGCTTCCCGAGTAGCTGGGATTACAGGCACACACTACCATGCCTGGCTAATTTTTGTATTTTTAGTAGAGATGGGGTTTCTCCATGTTGGCCAGGCTGGTCTCGAACTTATGACCTCAGGTGATCCACCCACCTCGGCCTCCCAAAGTGCTGGGATTACAGGCGTGAGCCACCGTGCCCAGCCTGGGGTACCACTTTAAGAGGGCTCAGGGGTGCCACCTTCAGATAGAGTTCGCCTGCCCCATAACATATCAATCCTTCAAAATCACTTCAAATAAATACTAACAGCAGCTTGGAGACATCATTCTATACTCTCCCTTTTACTCCAAGGACAAAGGAGCGGCAGAGAGCTGCTAGCCAAAGGCAGGCTGGGACTTAGGGGTTGGACTCACTCCCCCTCTGGCGGTCACGCGGGGCCCCTGGGCGGTAGGGGATACCGCCGTCACGCCTCCTGAAACAAGAACCAATAGGAGCCCGGGCCCCGCCCCTGGGGGGAGTATTTAGGAGCTGATCAGGACCTCGCTCCGAGAGGGCTGGGGAAGCCGAAGGGAGCGTGGAGTAGAGGCCGGCCCCGTCTCACGACCTGGGAACAGGAACACAGGGGCTCTTGGCCGACCGGGCAGGGCAGAACCCGCACCGTGCCTCCTCGGCAAGGGCCATCCCGGTGCTACCCACGTCACACTAGAGCAGAAGTAGGTGAGTCCTGGAATTGCGACCTGCACAGAGCTGGTCTGTCCTGTCCCTGATGGTCGCCGCCATGACCTGGCTGGTGCCGCTGGGAGCACTGCTCTGCATGCTGCGCGTTGGGTCAAGCACCCCAGACTCCGAGGGTTTCCCGCCCCGTATGCCCCACAACTGCCCCTACAAATGCGTCTGCGCTGCTGACTTGCTGAGCTGCACTGGCCTAGGGTTGCAGGACGTGCCCGCCGCGTTACCTGCCGCTACTGCGGACCTCGACCTAAGCCACAACGCACTTCAGCGCCTGCGACCCGGCTGGTTGGCGCCCCTCTTGCAGCTTCGCGCCCTGCACCTAGGCCATAACGAACTAGATGCGCTGGGTCGCGGCGTCTTCGCCAATGCCAGCGGCCTGAGACTGCTCGATCTGTCATCTAACGCGTTGCGGTCGCTTGGCCGCCACGATCTCGACGGGCTGGGGGCGCTGGAGAAGCTGCTTCTGTTCAATAACCGCCTGGTACACTTGGACGAGCATGCCTTCCATGGCCTGAGAGCACTCAACCATCTCTACCTGGGCTGCAACGAACTCGCCTCCTTCTCTTTCGATCACCTGCACGGTCTGAGCACCACCCACCTGCTTACTCTGGACCTCTCCACCAACCGACTGGGACACATCTCCGTACCTGAGCTGGCAGCGCTGCCAGCCTTCCTCAAGAACGGCCTCTACTTGCACAACAACCCATTGCCCTGCGACTGCCGCCTCTACCAACTGCTACAGCACTGGCACCAGCGGGGCCTGAGCGCCGTGCGTGACTTTGTGCGCGAGTACACATGCTTAGCCTTCAAGGTACCCGCGTCCCGCGTGCGTTTCTTCCAGCACAGCCGCGTCTTTGAGAACTGCTCGTCGGCCTCAGCTCTTGGCCTAGAGCGGCCGGAAGAGCACCTGCACGCGCTGGTGGGTCGGTCCCTAAGGCTTTACTGCAACACCAGCGTCCCGGCCATGCGCATTGCCTGGGTTTCCCCGCAGCAGGAGCTGCTCAGGGCGCCAGGATCCCGCGATGGCAGCATCGCGGTGCTGGCTGACGGCAGCTTGGCCATAGGTAACGTGCAGGAGCAGCATGCAGGACTCTTCGTGTGCTTGGCCACTGGGCCCCTCCTGCATCACAACCAGACACACGAGTACAACGTGAGCGTGCACTTCCCGCGCCCAGAGCCCGAGGCTTTCAACACAAGCTTCACCACGCTGCTGGGCTGCGCCGTGGGCCTGGTGCTTGTGCTGCTCTACCTGTTTGCCCCACCCTGCTGCTACTGCCGCCGTACCTGCTGTTGCCGCTGCTGGCCCCGAACACCCAGCCCACTCCGTGAGCTGAGCGCACAGTCTTCAGTGCTCAGCACCACACCGCCTGACGCACCCAGCCGCAAGGCCAGCGTCCACAAGCACGTGGTCTTTCTGGAGCCAGGCCGGAGGGGCCTCAATGGCCGAGTGCAGCTGGCAGTAGCTGAGGACTTCGATCTCTGCAACCCTAGGGGCCTGCAGCTGAAGGCTAGCTCTGAGTCTGCTAGCTCCATAGGCTCCACAGGTTTCATGACAACCTAGGCTGCACCAGAGCCCCACCCAAGCCCCTGCCCTCTTGCTGCTCGCCCTGCTCCCTGCTTTGGTCCAGAGAACTGGCAGATGCTGGTGTGGAGCACTGTGCCTGGCCCCCGGCTTCCTGTGTGGGCCTCAAACCACAATGGGCCTTCTCACTCACTGGTAGAGAGAGAGGTTCCAGTCCCTAACCTGCCTTCTGCTCTGCCCCTGCACATGACCCAAAGGCCCCAGGCCCTGCCAGGTGTGCTAGTGCCTGCTTCTCCAGGGACCTCCTGGTGCCCAAATGCCCTGTGAGGCTGAGAGACCCAGGCCCATGTGGAAGAACCCCTGTGGCAGAGCCCCCTATCCACCCTCAGGGGCCAAAGGAACTTTTGAGTGGTGCTGAAGAGCTGACGCAGGGCTACTTCCCCTTCCCAAGGGGGTGGGAGGGAGTGGGCCCATAGGGAAAAGGAGGCAGCTCTGAAGGAAGATCCCACCCACACCCCAAGACAGGAGGAAACAAGGCCGCCCTCTGGTGAAATGGGACTCTCTCCATCCGCCAACACCCAACCTCCTGAAATCTTCGCAACTGCACAGAGTCCGGTGGGCAGGCACTAGGCAGGAAAGGCTCCTTAAGAGACTCCTGAGGGCCCTGGCCTAAGCCCCAGCCAGAGGCCCTGCTCTTCTGGCCCGGTTCTCTCCAGCTGTTGTTCTGAAGGCAGAGCCCATTCTGTGGGCTCACAAGACACAGTGAAGGGGATCATGGCCTGGGCTCCTTCTTTTCAGCCGTAAAACGCCCAAGAAGCCTGGCGAGCATGGCCAAGCTGGGAGGGCCGAGCCGGAACTCCATGTCCCTCGAGGGCAGGTGCCTCTTAAGGGCTGGCACTGGTTTCAGCCTAATGGCTGAGGCGGTGCCCTGGCTTCACATGCCTCTCACTGCTCCCATTGCAGGGGGGCAGGGAAGGGGGTCTGGGAGCTCCTCATGTGTGGGGGCTGAGCTGGGGGCCCTCATGGTCATCCTGGACCCCACTGCTCCAGAGTTTCTTAATAAAGGCAGCACTTGCTTATTGCTGGAGCCTTCGCAGACAAAGGTGGTCCTGCGTGTGTTCAGCTCTCCACCCAGCAGCCTGGCCCTGTCCACTACAGGATGGCACACCCTACAGAGTCCTGCCTCCCATGCCTGGTACCTGAGGTGTGGCCACAAGCCAGTAGCTCTGTGGGCCAGGGTATCCTGTCCTGCTGGGGTCCCAGATTCTCCTACTTAGAGGAGCTCCCTCTGCCCCATATGTAGGCTGTTCACACCTCACCACCTTCCCTCTGCCTCAAAACCTGATACTGAGGTCGGTTTTCCAGATTAGGAAACAGAGGTACCAGGAGGCCCTGTCCAGTCCCTCCTCACCAGACACACCCAGCTCCCAGCAGGGCCCACAGTCCCCAACACTCACTCTGAAGCTGGGCCACGCACCAGGAGCTGCACCAGGATGCCCGTCACTGCCACCAGAATGGGGTAGTGGTCCACGCTCTCTAGGCCTGAGGGGAAGGGAAGGAAGGAAGATGAGCCTCCCACACACTCCCACTGCAGGGGCTCCAGGCTTGACACCATCCGCCCTGCCCACTGCCCTCCCTACAGAAGGGTGAGCTGAAGCTGCAGGGCACTGAGCCTGGCTGTCTGGGGACAGAATGCAGAATCAGGCATCACTGTTCCTAGCAGGGGAGCCAAGTGGTATGTTGGGGTGGAGGGCATCTAGGTCCTCACCAGGCAGCCGTAGGGTGACCACACGATCAAACAGGTTCCTCTCAGCTGTCACCCGGTTCAGCACCTGGTTTAGCAGCTGTGAGGGGGGCAGGAATCCGTTGGTGGAGGGCAGCGTCACCAATGGGGCATCCCCAGGGTCCCACCCTTGTTGCCCAGATGGCCACACCTGTGCAAGACGCCGTAGCAGCATCTCAGAGGTAGGCCGGGTCCAGTCGAGGAATATCTCAGGCACCAGTGTGATGGTCATCTCCAAGACACGCAGCAGGCTGACCGAGAGGTCAAAGCAGGTAGCACATACCTTGAGCTGCCGGCTATCCACAAAGTTCCGCTCCAGGCGCTCAGCAGCCTGCTGGATCTGAGCCACCAACACGTGGGCATGCAGCAGTCAGTGCCTGGCTCTAGCCCAGGACCAGGCCTCGTCCCTTGCACCATCACAAGGCCCCACCACAGCCCACCTCCACCCACAAGTCCCCACCACAGCCCACCTCCTGGATCATGCCAATGAATTCAGAGAAGGCCCAGTTGAGCTGGTTGAGGACGCTGTTGAGGAAGCTGGGCGCCACATCGGGACCCTGCTGCAGGAGATCTGCCATGTGCCGCTGCAGCAGGGTGGAGGGGCAGGGCTCTGCAGGGGGACAGGGAGGCCACAGCATCAGGGACTCCATTGCAGTGGCCTCTGCCTGTTTGCTTCTGTCCTCGCCCATTGGGCCTTTGGTATAAGGACAGAGAGATGGCTCCCTAGGAATGCTCAGGTCATGAAAGCAGAAGACAGGGGACAGCTGTCTTGTAGTTAGGACAAAATCTGTCCCCTCCTTCTACTAGACAAGCCCCAGGCTGTAGCTGTTTCCAGCCCCCACACCGCACTACCCACCCCAGGCCCAGAGCAGCCACACAGCCAGAGCCTGACCTCCAGCAAGTTCTGGGCCACACACCCTTCAGACAGGGTCAGATCTAGACAGGGTGGCTTAGACACTTCCCCATTGGCACCAAGGTCAGCTCCTCCAAGAGCCTACTCTGAGCCCTGCTGCAAACCTGCTGTCCTCTACTGTCCTCTGCCGCCCTTGGCCTGGCCTTGGCATATGGCCGAGGTGGTGGGCACCAAGTCTGGGCTGGCAGGCAGCAGTAACCGGAACCCTCAGCTGCAACTGGCCTGGCACACCTCCCCACCAGCTTGATGCAAATCAATAGTTCCCGCAGCAGCAGGACGGACCTGGCCCCACTGTCGCTCTCCACTTGTAGCTCAGTTCCTCCCTGGAGGCAGGACCAAGGACTTGCTGTGTGACTTAGCACAAGACACTCAGCCTTTCTGGGGACATCCTTCAGACCAAAACACTGCCCACAAGAGCAGAAACACACTATGTGAGCCAAGAAACGCCACCAAAAAGGGTGAGGACAGTGTGTGGTGGGCACTCTGCAAGGGCCAAGCCTAGGGGAAGGTCCTCAGGCTCATGAGATGTTGCTGGACCCTGGAGACCTGGACAGCCTCTGCTCCCAACTAAATGTCCCTTCCTCCAGGAAGCCCCACAAATACCCTCTGGGGACCTAGCCAACCTCCAGTTGGTGCTCCCACTGGATTCAGGTGTCCAGGGCCTAAGCCGAGGCCATGATCTGGCACCAGCAGACAGTGAAAAAGGCACAGAAGGACATGCTGCTGGGACAAGGCTGGAGGTCAGGGAGCTAGCTTAGAGGGCAAGGGACAGAATATTCAGTCTGCATGCGCTGCGGCAGGCTAGTAAGACAGTGCCCACTCTCACCATGTCCCACACAGAGCGTCAGGGCCCAAAGGGCACATGTAGCACTGTGGGCAAGGAGGAGGAGTCCCACCCCGAGCATCCTTGGGCTGAAAGGAAGCAGGGAAAGTGGAAACCTTAGGGGACAGGTAGGGCATATGGGACCCAGCAGGGGAACAGGAGAGGGGCTGGAAAAAGTGGAGAGTCTGAGAGAACCTATGGGTAAGGCCCCCCACTGCCTTGCCCAGGACTCGCCTAACCCAGATACTCACTCTGGAGGCTGGGCAAATTAGCATCCTCAAGTTTGGTTTTCAGCAGATGTGGCAGCCGTGTATAGCGGTATCCAAAGCCACAGCCCTGTGGGAGGTACGGGGGGGGGCAGTGCAGGAGTCAATGGGACAGAGCACCCTCTCCCTCCAGCCAGCCTCAGCTACCTCCTCCAGTCAGGCTTACCCTCCAGAGCCGCACCAGGATCCAGTTGGTCTGGGCCCAGGGCCGCTGTTCATAGGGAGCCAGGAGGTTCCTTACCATGGCAATACGCCTGTGACGGCAGGGAGGGGAGAGACACGGGGTGAGGCTGGGCACAGTGCTCGCAGGCAGGGTGTGTGCCCCTCCAGGCCCCACTCACTGTTCCTCAGGGATTCGCTCCACAGCCCGCAGGGAGTGTGGGTAGCACACGTAGCTGGCCAGGGCCTGCATCAGAGAGTCTCGTATGTCTGTGGGGACAGGCCTTGCCTCAGTAGGGGCTTGGCATGAGCTCTGGCCCCATGCTTCATGCCCACCTGGCCACATTTTTCATAGAAAAAAGCCAACCAGAGGTGCAATCCCGTCCTCCTCCCTCTGTACCCTCTGTAGGCCCCTCACCAGTGCCCACGATGCGTGTGTCTGCAAAGTGTGTGGCAAGAATGGCAGCCAGGCGGGTCAGGGTCTCTTCATAGCCTGCAAGGGTGGGAAGTGAGACATCTTGGCTGGGAGTGGGAGCTCCAGGGGCAGGTGTGTCCCTTGGCAGGTTGGGTGGGCCTGAGTAGCAGGCTCTAGAGCTGGCTCCCAAGGCCAGCATGGACCCAGGGTAGCATCTGGGGACATCGGGCAAGGCATTCACTGGTGGCTGTGGAGGTGCTAAGGCACAGGCTCACTGTGAGGGGAGGACAGGTCCTGGCAGGAGTCCTGACCTGGGCTCAAACCCACCTCAGCACACATACTTGATGAGCAGTGAAAGCTCCCTGGGCACTCATAGCTCTGTCTTTGAAGACAAAGCCTGCACGGAGGCCTGGGGCTGGTCAGGGGTAGGGCCAGGGTCCTGACAGCTCACAGCCTGATCCAGACATACACTGCCATGCCCAGCCTGGAATCAGCAGGCTGCAAGAAGCCTAGGTTCATATGTGGACCCTAGCAGGGCCCCACCCCCTGCTGTGATTTACCAAGACAAACCATTCTGCCCTTGACCAACTGCCACACTTCGTGACCAGTGCCAGGGAGTCAGGGTGCAGGGCCAGCTGGCTGCTGGACCGCGGCAGTTGCTCACAGCACTAGGAAGTGAAAGCCAAGGGGTCTCCACCCGCTGTGTTCCATCTTTTCTGTTTTCCTTCACCAGGGAGCTGTTGGCTCTGTGGCTGCGGGTCCCAGGGCAGGGTGCAAACGTTTGTTTGCTGCAGGGTGAACCACAGAGGAAGCTCCGCCTCCCCTTCCCACCCCTCCCCCACACGGATGTTGTTGCTGAGCCACAGAGGTCACAGACCAGGGCTCCTAGGGCTCACACTAGAGACCCCTTTTCTGCTTCTGCCCCAGCCTGAATGGTTCCATCACCTGGGAGCTCCTCCATGCTGTGCACAGGGCCAAAGTAATTCTTGAGAGCACTGTAGCTGTTGATGGCCACGCTCAGGTAGAACTCGGGCATGAAGGCAAAGAGAGATCCCGTGCGATCGCCGTGCTCAATGGTCCGCAGGCAGACTCGCAGCAGCCAGTAGATGTCCAGCATCTTCTCCTGCAGGAGGCACACGGGTGTGTGCCTCTCACCAGTGGGGTCTTGGGGGCATGGCCTGGCCTGGGGATCAGGAAAGACCTCCCCGGCCTGTGACAGCACAGCTGAGACCTGGATCTCAGGACGCATGAGCACTGGTTCAAGCAGGGCAATCGAGTCCTCGGCAGGCAAGAGGGACGCACTCAGCCTGGAGGGAGCATTACTGAGACCCAGGCCAAAACTCTGATCAGCATATGTGTAAGCAAGTTTTTTGTTTTTATGAGATGGACTCTTGCTCTATCGCCCAGGCTGGAGTGCAGTGACGCCATCTTGGCTCATTGCAACCTCTGCCTTCCAAGTTCAAGTGATTGTCTTGCCTCAGCCTCCCAAGTAGCTGGGACTACAGGTATGTGACACCACACGTGGCTAATTTTTGTATTTCTAGTAGAGATGGGATTTCGCCATGTTGGCCAGGCTGGTCTTGAACTCCTGACCTCAGGTGATCCACCTGCCTCAGCCTGTAAGCAAGTTTGAGGCAATAGGGTGTTGTGACTGGAAGTCTGTGTTGGAAAGCTGCCCCACACAGAAGGGGAAGCAGGGCAAGTGGGGACAGGACAGTGAGGAAGCCACAGTCTTGTCTAGGTCCAAGATGGCAGACAAAGGGACTGGAGGGCCAGGATTGGGTATGCCCTGAAGGGCTGTGGGGACAATGAAAAGGCTGCAGCAAGAATGGGGGTATGTGCTTCTGAGGGTGGTGGGGTCTCCATGGAGTACTAGAGGAGAAGCAGGCCTGGTGCAGGGCAGAGGGGAGTAGACAAGTGGAGTACAAGGTGCATGGGGGTCCCAAAGAGCTGGCAGTGGTAAGCAGGCAGACGAAATTTGATCTGCATTGCAAAGGAGAAGGTGGCGGGAAGGCAGGGGGTGGTGTGACTGGTGGAACAGAGGTCACAGGAAACAGACAAACCCTTCTGAGGGCCCTGCTCCCCACAACGTGGTTTCCACAGAGTCCATGTCAGGGTCTCACGAAGGAGCCCAGGCAAGAATGAGGCCTCAGGCCCCAGCCCAGACCCATAGCACCCGTGTATCTTGGGAGTGTGGCCAGTGCACCTGGGCTTCACACCAGCTCTCTAATGTGCCCTAAAACCTGAGGAACTGAGGAGAAGATGTAAGCAAGCGGTCAGGGGGCGGGTCTGTGGGCACACCTGGGTGGTGACAATCCTGCTGCTACAGAGGGCCAGAGAAGACTGTCTGATGAAGGGATGGCCATGGCTCCATCAGAGCTAAGCCACCAATCCAAGGGAGATGGAAATGTGAGGGCCGGATTGAGATGGGGGCAGACTGAGACCCTGGTGGGACTACTTCAGAGATGGGGAAGAGCCTGTGCTGGGGCGAGACAAAGGGGAAGATGAAGGAGCTAAGACAGAGAAAGAAGAGAATATAACTACGGGCACATGTAAAGTCAAGGCTGGAGCGCAGTGGTGTAATCACAGCTCACTGTAACATGAACTCCTGAGCTCATGTGATCTTCCCACCTCAGCCTCCAGAGTAGCTGGGATTATAGATATGTGTAGCCATGCCCAGCTAATTAATTTTTTTGTTTTTAGAGATGGGTTGCCCAGGCTGGTCATGAACTCCTAGCTTCAAGTCACAAAATGCTGGTTTACAGGAGTGAGTCTTTCCACAAATAATGGAAGAACCGCAATTAGAAAAACACAAGTGAGTTAGTGCTGAAGTTGCAGAGAATGAAGGCAGTTCAACATAATAAACACCAAACATGAAAAGCCTCCATCTAACATCACACTCAGTGGTAACAGACTATAATCTCTCCCTCCCTCCCTCAGACCAGGAACAAGACAAGTGTGCCACTTTCTCTACTTCTGCTCAGCATCATCCTAGAAATCTCAGCCAGAACAACTAAGCATGAAAATGAAAGGAAACCACACTGGAAAGGATGAAGTAAAATTATCTCTGTTCACAGACATGATTTTACAAGTAGAAAACCCTAAAGATGCACACACATAAAACCCCAACTAGGATTAATAAATAAATTCAGCAAAATTGCAGGATATGGCCAGGCACAGTGGCTCAAGCCTGTAATCCCAGCACTTTTGGAGGCGGAGGCAGGTGGATCACCTGAGGTCAGGAGTTTGAGACCAACCTAGCCAACATGGTGAAACCCCATCTCTTTTAAAAATACAAAAATTAGCTCGGGGCGGTGGTGGGCATTTGTAATCCCAGCTACTTGGGAAGCTGAGGCAGGGAATCGCTTGAACCCAGAAGGCAGAGGCTGCAGGGAGCTGAGATTATGCCACTGCACTACAGCCTGGGTGACAGAGAGAGACTCTGTCTCAAACAAACAAAAAAATTGCAGGACACAAAAATCATTATGCAAAAATGAACAATCTGAAAAGAAATCCAGAAAATAATTCCATTTACAATAGGATCAAAAAGAATAAAATACATAGGAAGACATTTAACCAAGGAAACAAAAGACTTGAAACTGACTGGGTGCAGTGGCTCACGTCTGTAATCCCAGCACTTTGGGAGGCTGAGGTGGGCACATCATGAGGTCAGAAGTTCGAAACCAGCCTGGCCAATATAGTGAAGCCCCGCCTCTACTAAAAATACAAAAATTCACTGAGTGTGGTGGCACACGCCTATAGTTCCAGCTACTTGGGAGGCTGAGGCAGGAGAATCGCTTGAACCCGGGAGGTGGAGGTTGCAGTGAGCTGAGACTGTACCATTGCACTCCAGTGTAGGTGACAGAGTGAGACTCCGTCTCAAAAAAAAAAAAAAAGACTTGAAGCTATACTGAAAATTACAAAATGTTGCTGAAAGAAATTAAAGATCTAAATGGAAAGCAATCCTGTGTTCATGAACTGTTAACATTGTTAAGATATCAACACCGCCAAACGAAATCTACAGATTCATGCAACCCCTATCAGAAGCCCAATGGTGTTTTCTGCAGAAACAGAAATACCCATGTAAAAATTAATTTGGAATTTCAAAGGACCTCAAGTAGCCAAAACAATCTTGAAAAACAATAAAGTTGGAGGTCTCGCTTCCTGATTTCAAAACTTATAGCAGGCTGGGTGTGGTGGCTCATGCCTGTAATCCCAGCACTTTGGCCAAGGCGGGTGGATCACCTGTGGTCAGGAGTTTGAGACCAGCCTGGCCAACATGGTAAAAACCCATCTCTACTAAAAATACAAACCTTAGTTGAGTGTTGTGGCGCATGCCTATAGTCCCAGCTACTCAAGAGGTTGAGGTGGCAGTATCACTTGAACCTGGGAGGCGGAGGTTGCAGTGAGCCAAGATCCTGCCACTGCACTCCAGCCTGGGTGATGGAGTGAGACTCCCTCTCAAACAAAAAAAAAAAAAAAAAAAAAAAAAAAACACCCACAAATGATCAATAAGTGAATATAAAGGTACTATTTTGCTATAATATCACTAATCATTAGGAAAATGCAAATCAGAACCACAACAAGGTACCATATCCTACCAATTAGGATTTACTATTAAAAAAGCAGAAATTGGCTGGGCGCAGTGGCTCATGCCTGTAATCCCAGCACTTTGGGAAGCCGAGGCAGGCAGATCACGAGGTTAGGCGATCGAGACCATCCTGGCCGACATGGTGAAACCCCATCTCTAAAATGAATAAATAAAATTAAGTTAAAAAATAAAGAGAGAAAAAGCAGAAATGCTTGATTATAGGTGGTTCATCCTATAATCCCAGCACTTTGGGAGGCTGAGGCAGGAGGATTGCTTAAACTCAGGAGTTTGACAACTGGGCAACATAGTAAGACCCTGCCTCCACCAAAAAAGGACAGAAAAATAAGTGTTGCAAAGGATACGTATGGAGAAACTGGAACCCTCATGCACTACTGGCGAGAATGTAACATGGTAGAGCCGCTGTAGAAACAATATGGTAGTTTCCAAAAAAACTGAAAAACAGAATTGGCCAGGCATGGTGGTTCACATCTATAATCCCAGCACTTTGGGAGGCCAAAATCGGTGGATCACCTGAGGTCAGGAGTTCAAGACCAGTCTGACTAACATGGCAAAACTACTAAAAATACAAAAATTAGCCGTGCATGGGGGTACATGCCTGTAGTCCTAGCTACTCAGGGGGCTGAGACAGGAGAATCACTTGAACCCAGGATGTGACGGTTGCAGTGAACTGAGATCGTGCCATTGCACTCCAGCCCGGGCGACAGAGCAAGATTGTCTCAAAAATAAAAATAAAAACCAGAATTACCATATGATACAGCAATTCCACTTCTGCGTATATAACCAAAGGAATTGAAATTAGGGTCTCAAAGAGATCTTTGCACACCCATGTTCATTACACCATTGTTCACAGTAGCCCAAAGCAGAAGCAACCCAAGCATTCCTCGACAAGGAACTGTACACATGAAATGTGGTGTCCGTACAACGGACTATTCAGCCTCAAAAACGAGTACGTTCTGACACGTACTATAACGTGAATGAACTTCAAGGACGTTACACTAATGCCAGACACAAAAGAACAAATAGTGTATGATTCTTCCTAGATGAGGTGCTTAGAGTAGTCAAATTCATAGAGACAGAAAGTAGGATGGTGGTTGCCAGGGCTGGGGGAAGGGAGGACAGGACGTTTTGTTTAATGGGCACAGAGTAACAGTTTTGCAAGATGAAATGATTCTGGAGATTGGCTATATGACAATGTGAATAGACTTAACACTTAAAGATGGGCGGGGGCCACGCATGGTGGCTCATGCCTGTTATCCCAGCACTTTGGGAGGCCAAGGCGGGGGGAATCACACGAGGCCAGCTGGGCCAACACAGTAGACCCCATCTCTACTAAAAAATACAAAAACTAGCCAGGCGCAGTGGCACACCTATAATCCCATGAGAACTGTGTGAACCCAGGAAATAGAGATTGCAGTGAGCCAAGATCATGCCATTGCACTCCAGCCTGGTCAACAGAGTAAGACTCTGTCTCAAAAAAAGAAAAAGCTAAGATGGTAAATTTTACGTCATACGTATTTTAGCATAACTAAAAAAAAGGCAGTGAGATGAGAAAGTGAGGGTCTCCAGAAGGCAGTATGGGAGAGGGCAGCCAAACTGCTGAGGGAGGTGGGCAAGCAGGAAACCTTGGGGCAGGAGGGAGAGGAAGTTCCCCCGTCCTGGGGCAGTAAGCACAGTCATCCAGGGTAACAAGAGAGCCAGGAGTGGGAAAAGGGCAGAGGTGGTTTGGGTTTTGCAGAGAAGCCATCAGAAGAAACAGCAAGCAGAGATGATAGAGATAGGGACACCAAGGGCCTTGATCACCCAGTCATGCAGGGTGCCCAAGAAGACAGCAGATGCCCAGACACTGGCACCTGAAGAGAGCCTCAGGGCACTCACTGGTAGGGGAGAGATGCCAGCAGGGGCAAGGAGAGGAAATGAGTCCAGAGGGTCTGAGGCCGGGGGTGAAACTCCAGGTCACATCAGGAGTGCCCTATCCATCTGTTTGTCCATCCATGTATCCCACCAGGCTGAGTGTCCTGGGAGGGCAGGGACTCGTCTTTCTGGTTTATTACCATGTGTGTGCCCCTAGTGTCCCGGACGGCACCTGGCACACACCAGGTTTTGGGTGCATGCTATTGAATGAATGAGCAAGTGAATCAGTGAGTGAGTGAGGACCAAGCCAGTGGCCTTGGGGTGGTAATGAGTGAGACAGAGGCAGATGCAGAGGGTGGGGTGTGGCTCCCTGAAAGACTGCAGAGCCCCTGATGCACTCATGAGAGAGGAGGGGGGCTGAGAAACTGGGAAGAGGCGGGAGCAGGTGAGGCAGACAGTCAGAGCTTGTTCCTTGAAGGACAGGTCTGTGAGGTGTACTGGACGTCCAGAAACAGTGCTTCCTCAGTTCACGGGGCATGAGGGGTACAGGGGACATGGCATGGGGTGACAGATTCTGAAGTGTCGGAAGGGACATGTGTGTGCCAGAGGCCTGAAAGGGCAGGTGCACCAAGGATCCTGGCATAACCTTGCCCGACCTGTGGTCAGACAGTGAGGTCGTGGCAGGGCAGCTGCAGTCCCGGCTCACCTGGGAGTAGACAGTGGCGTGGACCCAGGCAAGACGGCGGCTCAGGTGGTCCAGCTTTTCTGAGAAAACCTTCTGGCTCTTGGTCAACTCTGCAAAAATGTCCTTCCTCTGGTACCCAAGGGGAAAGGAGGACAATCAAGAAATGGCCCCATGCCCAGCTCCACCCTAACCCGGCAGGCAGACTAGGAAGGGCCCTACTAGTGCCTGGAGCAGGCAAGGGATTGGGCTCCATTTTTCAAAACGCTGCTCTGCCACTGACCCTCTGGTGACCCTGAACCAGCCTCAGAACAGGGCCATGGTGGTCCCTGCAGGACATGGAAGTGAGGCCCAGCTGGAGGTCTGTGAGACCCTGGCTAGAGCACCCAGGGACCTGATGCCAGAACTGCTGCTCCTGCAGCTGCCAGGCCCAAGGATCTGCTGACAGGCGGGGGGTGGGTGAGAGCTGCCAGGGAAGCTCGGCCTGGACACACCGGGCCACACTTCCCAGGCCAGGACAGCTACAGCAGAAGGCTCTGGAGGGTGCAGCAGAGCCAGGCCCCGCTTCCTGCTGACTCTGCAAGTGGCCGAGGAAGCACTCAGGGTCAATGCATAATTGATGAGGAGAGTGGGTGTGCTTCAGCACTTAGTGGGCCTGGGGAGTGGGGGACGCCTAGGCACAGGCCACACTGGAGATGGGTGCCAGGCCCTGCTGCCAGCCCAACTCTCTCTGGCGTGCTATGGCCAGGGCTAGGGCGGGGACGAGGAGAACTGCGGGCAGCCCCCAGAACTAGACTTCATCTGTGGTTGCCTGCGATCTGAAGTAAGCAAGCTGCCCCCACCCAAGACTGCCTGTGGGCATTACCCGCTCAGGGCACCGGTGGAGCTTGTCCTCTGTGTCCCTCAGAGCCACTGCGTATTCATTCACATCATCGGAGACACCCACCATCTACAGCACGGGACCACATGTCCAGAGTGCCCCTTGGGTACTTCATCCAGGCTTCTTCAGACCCAGTCTAGACCCCAACCCTGCCAAGGTCCCAACCTTAGGCCCAGGGCTGCCCCGTTCCCACAACAGTCAGCAGGACAGACTGAAGCAGCAGAAGCAGAAACCAGCCCTGCTGAAGCATGTGCTCCCGTGCACGGTCATGCACAGGCAGCCCTGTGGGCCCATATGGACACAGGCACACACATACACACACACAACCAAACACACACAACACCCCCACCGAATGCAGGGCCCAAGAGTGTGCGACCTTGCCCAGCTGCTGGTGCACGCTGAGGTTGTACATCATGACCACCCCATCCAGGACTTCCAGCAGCGAGTTCTCGGTGAGGGGCTGCTCAGGCTCCTCGGGGGGCCGCCCCAGCAGCAGGCCCTCGTTCCAGTGGCTGCCTTCAACTGGAGAGCCAGGGAGGGCAGGGTCAAGGCAGGGCCGTCCCAGCTCTCCTGAGCCTGCCTTGCAGCAGGAGAGGGAATCCTCTCCCGTTCCTGTGCCCCAGGAGGGACCCTCGGGAAGCCTATGGGGGCAGGGATGGGGTGGAGGGCAAGGCCCGCAGTGCCAGGACCTATTTCTGTGGCATCGATCTCCTGCCCTCAGAGTGTGCTTCCTGCACTCCTGGGATGCTGCCGGACCACAGGGTTGGGAGGGCATGGAGTGTATCTTGGCTTTGCCCAGGGTGGGGGTTGTACACGGTCAAGGAGTCCTTTGGGGCCCTGTCTGACCCCACCCGGCACCTACTGTCCTCACGGGTCCTCTGCTCCACGCTCAGCGTGCGGACCTTCACTTTCTCCGAGGTGCTAAGAGGACGCCGTGGGGTCATGAGGCTCACGGCTGCTGTGCTGAGGAAGCGGTTGGCTCGGCCCAAGGTTGGAGAACTGAGCCAGCTGGGCCGGGGCAGGGGTAGTGACCCCCCAACAGCCAGGGCCTGCATGGGGCGCTGCAGTGAAGAAAGGACGCCAGGACCAGGGCTGGTTCAGGGTTCCCTTGGTCCATGGGGTTGGGGAATCGCGAGGAAGGGTCCATGCCTCCACCCACATCGAGAGACCAGCTTTGGAAGCAAGGTCATCTGGGAGGAAGAGCAGGAGGATTCTCAGGCCAATGGTTGCATGAGCGGCCATGGTGAGAGAGCCCAGAAGGCTAGGCAGTAGGCCTCGCAGAGCCCAGTTTAGCACCGTGTCTGCCCTTTGCCCCTCTGTCTGGTGAGAGGCCCCTTGCCTACATGGAGGGGGGTGGCCCTGGATGAGACACCTGCAAACACGATAAAGAAAAAGCCCAAGCAAAGCCCCCCACCAGCCCCCACTGTGGCACCTGGGCCATAGATGGGGCTGGCTCCTCATCCTCGTCCAGGTCATCCATGGTGGCTGCCTGGAGCTCCAGTGGGTCGATCACAATGTTGGCTTTGGAAGCAAGGTCATCTGGGAGGAAGAGCAGGGGGGTTCTCAGGCCAGTGGTAGCATGAGGGGCCACCGTGGAAGTGCCCAGGACGGTGAGAAAGCCCAGCAGGCTTGGCAGTAGGCCTCGCAGAGCCCAGTTTAGCACGGTGTCTGCCCCTCACCCCTCCGCCGCCTCCACTCAGCCTTGTCTCTGCATCTCCCGGGCCCCCTGTCTAGCCACCACTCAGTAGCAGGAGGCCTTCCCCATCACACCCTTCCTGCAGGTCCCTGTCTTTGTTTCCCAGGACCTCCTACTCTCCAGAGCCTCCCCCACTCTCTGACTACTCCATAAACAAAAGGAGCTTCCAGGGCCGCTTCATTCTGGGCACTCCCTGGGGGAGCCAAGCCTTGTCCCAGGCTCATCCCCACTTCTATGCTGACAGCTGACCCCGCCTTCACTGCCTCCAGTGCAGGCCTTGCTCCCAGCTAAATGTGCTGTGTCCAACGCAGAATTGTCATCTTCAGAATTGTCATCTTCGCCGCCTCCTGCAGCCCCTCTCCCTCATGATGCCCCATCAACACAACCTCTGGCAGAAAGCCTGGAGTCATCCTGACTCCTCTCCTCCACCTGTGCCTTCCCCTACCTCCCTGGGGCAGGCCCTTATCTCCTGTGTGTGGACACCTAGACTCCTGTCCCTCAGCCTGCACTCCAGTGTCCACACTGTGGCAGCCAGACAGAGGTTCTGACCACACAGACCCACCCTCATGCCTGGCTCAGGGCCTTGCTCTGTCTGTGCCCTCAGCCTTGCACCAGAGCAGCTTGCGCTCATCCCTGAAGGCAGCTCTGGCAGCACCTGCATGCCCCACCCACACCTCACCAAGATCCCTGGTCCCCTGCCAGGCACACCTGACCCCTATGGTGGGGGTGCTGGAGGGAAGGAGAAGCTGCCCAGATGTGTGGTGGGCAGATCAGCATCTTCCTGCTTGAGTAGGTAAAGGGACTTGGGCACCCTCTAGTGGGCACAGGATGGCTCAGCACTCATAGCAGAGCAGGCTCAGGGGCCATCCCCCACCTGGCCCCAGACTTCCTCCCTGCCCACAGGCCTGCACACACCTTTGAGGGTCTTCCGCAGGTGGGAGAGGAGGCCCCCCAGGCGCTGCAGGTCAAAGTAGTCCACCTTGCCATTATAGAAAACCTGGGGAGGGATGTAGGCCTCTGCGAGGAGTGAAGAGGCCGGGCCAGTGGTCAGGTCCCAGCAGGAAGACCCTCCCCACAGCCCTCACCTCTAGTCTGGCCTAGCACAGCCTGGGAATTCTGGCCTTGGCTACCCACTCACCCTGGCAGACAGAGGAACCAGAACCCAGACTTCCCCTTCCTCCTCTCCACCTCTGCTATTTCAGGTCAGAGCCAGCAGCTGCACAATTTGGGGTGATAGGGGCACTCATGGTAGCCGTTCACTCGGGAGAAGCAGAGGCCCAGCCCCAGCCTTGTGGGATATCCTGCAATCCAGGGCAGGTAAGGCTCCCACTGACCCTTGGGGACTCAAACACAAGGCCCCCCCCCACCCACCCAAGGCAGCCCTATAAAGGACTGCACAGAGAAATGGAGGGCAAGGACCTCCAAGGGAAAGAGCCCATAACGGTAGGCACCCATGGGACAGTCGGAGCAAACACAGGATTGGCTGGCCTGGGGTGCGGGGCTCTTGCTGCCCCAGTGGAGAAGCCATCTATGGCTTCAACTAGGCAGGATGCTGGGGACAGCTCCCTGCAGCCCCCAGCCTCAGCTCAACACTCTGTACTAACACTAGAGGCTACCCTATGCCTGGCTCTATCCAGCCTCACTGACCTGGGGTTCCAGTGCCACTCACCCTCACTGTAGGAAGCATGGGGACTGGAAGCCTTGTACTCATCCCAATAGTATCGCAGGGCAGAGATCAGTCGGTGTAAGAAGCAGACCATGTACTCGGGGGGGCAGAGCATGGGCATGTTCTGTGGGTACCAGGCAGAAAACATGCATTGGTGCCAGCCCAGTGACTCACCCATTCCTCATCCAAGGCCCTGTCCAAGGGTTGTGGGTTGAGCGGGGAGGGAAAAGCAGCAGAGAAAAGCTCAGGGCTAGGCAGGGATGAGGCAGCCCGAAGGGTGCTAGGTGCTGAGGGCGTGGCCTGTGCGGTGCAGCCAGGGGTCCACAGGGGGCTGGCCCAAAGGACACCTACCCCACGGCCGCTGGCATTTTCCTGCAGAAACTTGCGAAACTTGGTCAGGAATATGTACCTAGAAGCTTCGCCCTTTGAGGGAAGGAAAAGTGAGGCTGTGCTGAGCTGAGAATGCAGGCCCAGACTGGGCTGGCTCAGTGCTGCACCTTCCCCTGGCCCCTGCCATGGGAACCAGAGCCAGTCCCCACCCTCTAGGTCTTAAGGCCCAGTGCAGCATCCCTCCCCACAGAGCCCCACCCAGGGGCCTGGGAGTCACTCACCCCGTTGCCATCTTTATTGTCCAGCAGCAGCTTCAGGATCTGGACCTGTAGTTCTTCCACCACTGGGGGTGAGGTGAGGAACACGGCCCTCAGGCTCCAGGGGATGGGGTGCAGGCTTGGGTCAGAACTCCACCACCAGGGTTCCCCGAGTCCCACCTAGGCATGGGCACCTCCAAGCACCCTCACGTGCACATACACCTCCTACCCTACCCCGTGCCCAAGGAGGGCCAACCTTCAATGCGCTTCTTGAGCCGCTGGCAGCCCCGTTCGTAGGCTCGCCGACGCAGCCGCTCCTCTGCTGTCTCCTCCTTCATCTCCGTGTTCTCTTTGCCCTATGCAGGGGTAGAGGAAGGAAGACAGCAGGGTCACCCGGGACCTAGACAGGCCTACTTCACACAGAACACCCATGCTAGTTGCCCGGTGGCCAGGCACCCAGGCCAGCCCTTGCCATGACCTCTGTCCATCCTACTGGGGGTGCACTCACCTCCTTACTGGAGCGGTGGGGCCACCAGGTGGTGGGAATGAGCTCCTGCAGGCCAGCTTCCTCCACACGCAAGGGGCTCTTGATGTAAAAGAACACGACGGAGCGGAGCACGTCGAAGCTGGCGGGTGTCAAGGCAGGGCTCTGCTCGCCAAAGGGCAGTCCGCACACCCTCGAGTCCTTCCCGGAGCCCATCCCCAGATGTGCCTACCGCATCTCTCCCACCACCACAGGGGCCATCGCTGCTATGTGTCTGACCTCCAGGGCATGCTCCCTGACAAAAGGCTGTGGCTGTGAAGCCCACCAAGTCCAGTACCCAGCAAGTGCATGACAAGGGCTTGTCACAGGAACAGATGACCATGGGACAAGCTGGAGAGAGGGCCCGGTGGCTTCTTCTCATGCCCCAACTCTGACCTCTGTGTCTCCCAACTTTGTGTCTGCCTCCTGGAGGTTGGAAGACCCCAGACCAAGAAGACGGCTACAAGCTCAGGCTTCCCAGCCAGGGGCTTAGAACTAGGCTCTTTCCCATTTATGCAGTTCACAGTATTTCTGGGAAGCAGGAAGAGCTGCCTCCTTAAAGAAGATCTTGCAGGAATCCCCACTGTGAAACATGGACAAAAGTGCTGGCTATGGCTGAAGAGGGCAGGCCCTGTGGCTCCTCCCACACCTCCATAAAGCCCAAGTCTGTAGTCATTCGGAAGCCCCTGACTAGGCTGGCTGGCCAGGCTCAGTCCTTTGCTCTCCCTTCCTTGCTCTGTAGAGAAAGTGCCACATGTGGGGCAGCTCTAGTCCTCCTGATCCTACCAGGATCCCTGGCCTGATGGACACTCCCCTTCCTGGCCTCTGCTGAGCCCAGAGGGCACCCCATGTCTGGCCTGCCTGGCAGCACGGGGAGGATACAGGACGTTGCTAAGCAGAAACTTGCGGGACTTCTCATGCCTCAGGATGGCGATCGTGAGCCGTAGGTAATGGATCTGTGGAGAGGGGGTGTTCAGAGTGGACGGGGGAGTTCCAGGGGGGCCAGGACAGGGGCAGGTGCTCCCACCTGTAGGCCCAGGTCTGGGACGATGGGTGAGAACCGGTACAGCCGAAGCAGAGACATCATCAACTGCTTGAGGCAATCTTGTACCTCATAGTCCTAGGGGAGAGATGCCAGGGCAGCCATGTTTGGGGCCTTTTCCAAGACTCTCCCCATATCTTCCCAAGCCCAGTGAAGACTGACAGCCAGCCCTGAGGCCTGAGGTCAGGAGCCTTACCTCCATGAAGAGCCACAAGAGGTCCAGGACCTGGTGCACCACGGACTGTGCTTGTGCGCGTGTGCCCTTCTCCACGATGCCCAGCAGGAAGCTCATGAGCACAGCCTCCACCAGGTACACCTTGCGCTGCACCAAGGCCAGGCACTGGTGAGGCGGTGGCCTTCCACTCTGGTCAAGGCACCCCTGCCCTGGCATATGGCAGAGGCCACGCCGAGGGCTCCAGCCTCAGGCATAGGGCCTTGAGCCACTTGAGCAACACCAAACATAAGATGAGCCCTTCCAGGTTCTGACTGAGGGACAAGAAAGCCATTGCCCCATGGCTCCTCTAGGGCTTGGCACACGCAGTTTCCTTGGCCTGTGATGTTATTACCCTTCAGTCTTCTTTCCAGGACATCCCCTGATGCCCTTGGCTGGCAATGTCCCTGTTTCCCTGGGGGACCAACTTTGAGGTCTGAGGGCCCTGGTCACATGGGGCTCCCGCCAGGTGATGCTACGGGCACCTCAGCACCGCAGCCCCTAGTGAGGACACATCTACATGGGTGTGTCTGGCAAGGCCTGCCTCCTCCCCTCCCAATGCCGCTCACCAGGAGCGGTGCAAAGCGATGGAAGATGTGGGCCAGTGTGAGGAGGACAGTGGGCTGGCCCCGCAACCGCCACTCGGAGCTCTCCCTGTCCAACAGCTGCCCTTCCTGTGTGGAGCGGGAGGAGGGAGAAGTATGAGGGGCAGGAGGCTATGGAAGGCCCCCAGCCCGCCTGGTCCAGACCAGCTCACCATGGGGTCCAGCTCCACACTCAGCACTGCCCGGAAGCAGCCCAGCAACCTCTGTGCCCGCACCAGGTCAGCACTAGGTGGGTCCTGCAGGGGCCGGTAGCCCGCCACTGGGTAGGTGCCACAGAGTTAAGCCACCAACGCCTTATCTATGGCTCAGACATGCCCACTATCCCTCCCCACTGACAACCCTGAGGGGCCTGGTCTCTAAGGCAGGGCTGGTTTACATCACAACTCACCTACTTATTCTTCCTAGGGAGGACACTTCAAGTTCCTCATCTGTTAATGGAGACAAGGGCACCCAACCAACCAGGCTGCTGTGAGGAAAGTTGTCTCCCACTCACTCTGTAGCAGCCAGGGCCTGCCACCAGCCCACCACAACCCTGGGATAGGGAGCCCCTCATCCCAGTTTCCCCAAGAGCTTCTGCGCAGCCCACAGCCATCTTCCCAAAATGATATCGCAGAGGACGGCTGCCAAAGTTGAAGGCCACGGACTCCTTGAAAGAAAGGCTGATGGCTGGGAAGTAGGCCATGCCCAGGCCCCTGGATAGGTTCTCGAAGGCAGTGCCCAGTGATACACCATTCCTGGGGGAGAAAGGTGGGTCTGTGAGCCAGTGCTAAGAAGTATATGCCTGCCCACGCTCAGGCTATCAACCTCCACCTGGCCCCTTACAGGGCCCAGGAGGTGGGGCAGTCTGGGGAGGCTCCAGAGGCCAGGCCTGTGCATAGAGATAGGAAACTCACAGACAGAAAGACAGCGTGCCATCATCCAGGTCGATTAGACAGCTCACGATGTCCCCCGCTGCCCATGCCTGCCACGAGAGGAGGCCTCATAGAGGCACAGAAGCCCAGCGGCTTGCTGGCTCTGCACCCCAGCTGTGTTTCCAGAACCACCCAGTGGAGACAGTCTACAAGGACAATGGACCTGGGTCCCTGACCCTTCCCTGGTGCCCTATAGTCCCTTATGGCTGCCCAGTGGCTCCAAATAAGTTGTAGTGACAGTCATGGGATGGATGACCCACAGGGGGCTTGGCTCTCACCTTGCCGTAATTCGTTGTGGTCACGTTCCACTTGCGCACACGGTTGCCATCATAGGCATAGGAGTTGTGTGTATCTCCAACCCCCTCCTAGGGAGGAACTGCCTGTGAGGTCCCTGGTGAGGCAGACAGGGGCTGGACCAGAGCCCACCAATCACCAGCCTTGGACCCATATGGCTCTAGAGAAGGGAACAAATGATCTAAGGGAAAGAGTAAGGGGTATTCTCTGAGCTGGGGTGCCTGGGATGGGGTGGGACATGTTTCTTCTCCAGAGGGCAGTCCAGGTTAGGGTCCTGGGCAGGTCTGAGGGGCTCCGGAGCCCTGATAAGGCCTGTGGCAGAAGCTCTCCTTGGGCCCAGGGAGGCGTCCCCTCCCCCACATGTACCTCCTGGTTGAAGCGGCAGCTGATGGTGCACCAGCCAATCTGCATGAGCCCCTGGGAGGAGATGAGGACCTCGTAGACCCATTTCCCTGGAAAGAGCTGAGTTAGGCCCACAAGGTGGACAAAGACTGCTTCCTGCCTCAAGCCTGGGCCCTCAAACTTTCTCCCAACTACCTGGGCCACAGCAGAGTAGGGTCTCACCTTTGTACACGCATGTGGTAGAGCGGATGGTGCCAAAGTTGCTGTGTCCAATCACCTGGGTGAAGAAGAGGGATGGTAGGCTTCCTCCCAGGTACACAGGGCATCTCCCCAGGGGGAAAAGACCCCATCCCCAACTGAGCCAGCCCTGCTGGTATTTGCCTTCGGTAGCCAACACTGCACTGTGCCTGAAGACAGTGGGAGGGGGCAGGCCTGTATCAGGAGGGATCCAGAGCCAGGGGAAAGATGAGAGAGGGGCCATGCTCAGAAGGGCTGGGAACTGAGGCCACATCAAGACTGTTTCAGGGCTTTGGTGGGAGAGTCTGAGGACTGAGAACACAACAGTCTGGGGCCACATCAGGACATGTTTTTGGCTGCAGCCTCATCAAGATGAGAGACTAGGGCCACATCAGGAGGAGCCTGGGGCTGTCAGAAGGGGCTGGATCTGCGTCTCCACACCTCACCCTCACTCACCCCCAGCAGGTCATCATCTACCAGGAGAAGCCCCTCGAAGCCGCCTGTGTGATCCAGGACCACAGTGGATGGGCCAAGCCGCCCTTCAACCTGTCCTGAAAAGGGGAGGGGGGTCAGGCAGGGCAGAGTGTCTGACAGGACGCATAGGGAGTCCTGAGCTCACCAGACATCTCCAGGACCTCTCAACCCCACTCCAGAGGCGGCCACATACCCTGGCTTTCCTCTTCTTCATCGTCCACCTGTAGCAGCAGGTCCAAATGTTCTGGCAGGTTCTGGAAGTTCAGGGGTTTCCTGGGGAGAGTGAGAGGCTGCCAGGGGTCCACAAGTCCTTGAAATCAGCCAGATGACACTAAATACCATCCCTTCCCCTGAGCTCAGAGGAGGGCTGCCTAGACTCCAGAGAAAGAGTTGTGCCCCGTCTTTGACTCTGGCATTTGGGAGGTCAGAAGGTTGGATTCTATGCTAAACTCAAAAGTATAACCAGTCCAGGCTGGGCGTGGTGGCTCATGCCTATAATATGAGCACTTTGGGAGGCTGAAGTGGGTAAATCACTTGAGGTCAGAAGTTTGAGACCAGCCTGGCCAACATGGTAAGACCCCATCTCCACAAAAAATACAAAAATTAGCTGGGTGTGGTGGCACATATGTGTCATCCCAGCTACTTGGGAGGCTGAGGCAGGAGAACTGCTTGAACCTTGGGGGACAGAGGTTGTAGTGAGCCAAGATCGTGTCACTGCACTTCAGCCTGGGCGACAAGAGTGAGACTCCATTCCCCTCCCCCCAAAAAGTATAACCAGTCCAATTTGGTGTACCTCAGGAATGTTAAAAAAAAAATAGGGGCCAGGTGCAGTGGCTCACACCTGTAATCCCAGCACTTTGGGAGGCCAAGGTGGGTGGATCATCAGGTCAGCAGTTCAAGACCAGCCTGGCCAACATAGTGAAACCCCACCTCTACCAGAAACACAAAAAATAGCCAGGAGTGGTGGCATGTGCCTGTCTGTAATCCCAGCTACTCGGGAGGCTGAAGGAGGAGAATTGCTTGAAACCAGGAGGCAGAGGTTGTAGTGAGCCAAGATCACACCACTGGAGTATAGCCTGGGCAACAGAGCAAGACTCCACCTCAAAAAAGAAAAAAAAAAGTAGCCCTCTTTAAGTCTTAATTCCTTCAACTGTAAAAATGGAATAATGGCTTATGTCAGAGATGCTGTCAAGATCCCAGGGAATACACATGATGCCAGCCTAGCACATAACCTGCCCACTCTCAATGGTGCCTGTGTTGATGATGTCCGGAAGAAGGCTGGGAGAAATGTTGGTTCCCAAAGTGGTCAGTACCAAGGCCACCTAGTCCAGCCCTTGCCCCTAGGCCTGTGGTTCCTTTGGGGCAGATTCCAGTCTCACCACCACCCATCCAGGGGAGTCTGTGTTGAATGAGACATGTCCTGGAAGTATGAAAGGCTCGGCCCCCTGAGCTGCTGGCTGGCTCTGTCCATAAATGGTCAGTAGAGCACATGTCCCACCTATCCGAGCCAAAGGAGCTGGGAAAAATCTATCTGGGTGGCCCCTCATCCTTTCAACACACATGCCTAGAGGGAAACTGGTGCTATCTAATGCCAGTCAGCGCTGTCCTGAGCTCAGCTGCTAAGAATAGCAGGGAGTGAGGTGGTGGTAACCAGCAGGACTCAGGCAGAACAGAGGCCCATTACACACCTGGATCCAGCCCACAGACTGCCACCACCTGCTCTTCCACCTTTAATGCCAGTTCCTGCCCTACTCATCGCACAAATAGAAGCCTCTGGAAGGGGACAAAGATGGGACAAAGCACCCTGACAAGGTAGCCACTACCCAGGCTCAGGGACCACATATTCCCCCAGTGTAAGCCACTCCCAGCCCTGAGCTGTATGAGCAGAGATGCACAAAGGCCCCTTCCCACTCCTGCTCAGTCCCAGGCCAAGACCAGGTGGTGGCTATGCAGTCGGGGTGCTCAGCTAGCAGCACAGAAGGCTAAAGCCAACCCCATCTCTGAATACGCCAGTGGGCCCAAGGATAAAGAAGCCTTCCTTAAAAGCAGTTCTAGGCCAAGCATGGTGGCTCACACCTGTAATCTCAGCACTTTGGGAGGCTGAGGTGGGAGAATCACTTGAGCCCAGGGGTTTGAGCCCGGCCTGGGTGACATAGTAAGACCCTGTCTTAAAAAAAAAAAAAAAATTAGCTGGTTGCTGTGGCATGTGCTTGTGGTCCCACTTATGTGGGAGGCTGAAATGGGAGGATTCCTCGAGCCTGGGTCTTTGAGGTTACAGTGAGCTATGATTATGTCACTGCATTCCAGCCTGGGTGACCTAGCGAGATCCTGTCTCAAAAGAAAACAAAAGTTCTTAACAGGCCTATACTTGGGACAGCTACTCTTATACCTGACCCCAAAAGTTGTGTGCCTGATCCCTGAGAGCAGACTGCACTTATCTGTGGCTAGTCGGCCTGAGAAAGCTGCCACTGAGTGCCTGCAGCACTGCCCATTTGGCCAAGACCAGCAATTTGCCTGATCTTTTTGGGTCTCCTAGTTCCCAGCTCAGTGCCTTGCATCTCCACAACCACTGACTGATGGCCTTACCACCTGCTCTCTCTCCTGGCGGCCACAGCAGCAGCAGGACCATCTCTGGTATCACATGAGGTAGGGATCAGATGGCCCTGGGAACAGGCCAGGACAGAGTATGAGGTGGGGGTGGGCAGGAACCTTCTGCAAGCAGGAACTTTCTGACCACCCCAGCTGCTTAAATAGAACAGGTAATGATGCTGCCTTTTGGACCTGCCTAAAGAGCAGAGGTTGTGAAAGACATAATAGCTAAGGCTGCTGACGGGGTGAGAGACAGGGACAACTGTGCCTCACTGCACACTGCAGGGAGGGAGAACCTACTTGAGCCTTTGAAAAAATAATCTGGCAACAATCTTTTTTTTTTTTTTTTTTTTTGAAACTGAGTCTCACACAGTCGCCCAGGCTGGAGTGCAGTGGTGTGATCTTGGCTCACGGCAACCCCCATCTCCCGGGTTCAAGCAATTCTCCCATCTCAGCCTCCTGAGTAGCTGGGATTACAGGCAGCCGCCATCATGCCAGGCTAATTTTTGTATTCTTAGTAGAGACGGGGTTTCACCATGTTGGCCAGACTGATCTTGAACTCCTGACCTCATATGTCCACCTTGGCCTCTCAAAGTCCTGGGATTACAGGCGTGAGCCACTGCACCTGGCCCTCTGGCAACAGTCTTAAAAGTGACTGCAGTTCAAGCACTCTAGCCACATGACTCCAGCCCTGGGCATCCTCACAGCATTTTACAAAAGCAAAAGTGTTTCCAAACTAGGGCAGTTGTATAGGCCACAGCAGACCCCGGCCCTAAAGATGCTCAATAAAATAAATTGATAATGTGGAAAAATACTCATAGGATAACATTTGATGATACAAATGGATGCAAATTTCTATAAACTGGTGGAAGCGAGGGACATGTCCATTACCTTGATGGTAGTGACAGTTTCATGGGTTATATGTATGTTAACACTTATCAAATTGTACACTTTAAATATGTGTAGTTTATTGTACATTCATCATAGCTCAATAAAAATGTTTTAAGAAAAGAAGGTGACAATTTTTTTTAAAAGTTTTCTATACAGCATAATTTGAACTACATACATTATGAAATAAAGAAAACAGACATGAAGTTAAAAAGCTTCCGCACAGCAAAGGAAACAGTCAACAAAGTGAAGAGACAGCCCACAAATGGGATTGCAAACTACTCGTCTGACAAGGGATTAATAACCAGAATATATAAAGAGCTCAAACTCTATAGGAAAAAAAAACTAGTAATTTCTATCAAAAGATGGGCAAAAAAAATACAAACAGACATTTCTCAAGTGAAGACATACAAATGGCAAACAGGCATATGAAAAGGTATTAAACTCTCAACATCAAAGAAATGTAAATCAAAACTACAATGAGATATCATCTCACCCCAGTTAAAAAGGCCTTTATCCAAAAGACAGGCAATAACAAATGCTGGTGAGAATGTGGAACAAAGGAATCCTTGTACACTGTTAGTAGGAATGTAAATTATAATAGTACAATCACTATCAAGAACAGTTTGGAGGTTCCTCAAAAAACTGAAAATTGCCCGGGTATGTGGCTCATGCCTGAAATCGCAGCGCTTTGGGACGTGGAGGTGGGAGGATCAGCTGAGACCAGGAGTGAGAGACCAGCCTGGCCAACATGGTGAAATCCTGTCTTTACTGAAAATACAAAAAATAACCGGGCATGGTGGGAGGCAGCTGTAATCCTAGCTACTTGGGAGGCTGAGACAGGAGAATCGCTTGAACTCAGGAGGCGGAGGTTGCAGTGAGCCTAGATCATGCCATTGCAATACAGCCTGGGTAACAGGATCAAAACTCTGTCTCAAAAAAACTTAAAACTTGAGCTACCATATGATCCAGCAATCCCACTGCTGGGTATATATCTGAAAGAGGGGAAATCAGTACATTGAAGAGATAGCTGTACTCCCATGTTTGTTGCAGCACTGTTCAAACAGCTAAGGCTTGGAAGCAATCTAAGTTTCCATTAGCAGATGAATAAAGAAAGAAAACATGGCCGGGCGAGGTGGCTCACGTCTGTAATCCCAGCACTTTGGGAGGCCGAGGTGTCAGATCACGAGGCCAGGAGATCAAGACCATCCCAGCCAACATGGTAAAACTCCGTCTCTACTAAAAATAAAAAAAATTAGCTGGGCATGGTTGTGCATGCCTGTAGTCCCAGCTACTTGGTGGGAGGCTGAGGCAGGAGAATATTGCTTGAATCCAGGAGGCAGATATTGCAGTGGGCTGAGATTGTGCCACTGCACTACATACAGCCTGGGCAACAGTGCAAGACTCTGTCTCAAAAAAAAAAAAAAAAAAAAGAAAGAAAGAAAGAAAACATGGTACATATATACAAGGGAGTACTATCCAGCCATAAAAAAGAATGAGATCTGCCGGGCGCAGTGGCTCAAGCCTGTAATCCTAGCACTTTGGGAGGCCGAAGCAAGTGGATCACGAGGTCAAGAGATCGAGACTATCCTGATCAACATGGTGAAACCCCGTCTCTACTAAAAATATAAAACATTAGCTGGGCATGGTGGCGTATGCCTGTAGTCCCAGCTACTCGGGAGGTTGAGGCAGGAGAATTGCCTAAACCCAGGAGACAGAGGTTGCGATGAGCCGAGACGGTGCCATTGCACTACAGCCTGGGTAACAAGAGCAAAACTCCGTCTCAAAAAAAAAGAATGAGATCCTACCACTTGCCATAATACGGATGGAACTGGAGGTCATTATGTTAAGCGAAATAAGCCAGGCAGAAAAAGACAAACATTGCATATTATCACTTATTTGTGAGAGCTAAAAATTAAAACAATTGAACTCATAGAGGCAAAGTACTGAATGGTTACCAGAGGCTTGAAAGGGTAGTATAGGGCTTGTGGAGAGGTGGGGACGGCTAATGGGTACAAAAATATAGAATTAATAAGACCTAATATTTGCTAGCCAAAGAAAGTGACTATAATAAATAATAATCGTACATTTAAAAATAACTACAAGAGTATAACTGAATTGTTTATAGCACAAAGGACAAATGCGTGAGGAGATGGATACCCCATTTACCATGATGTGATTATTATGCATTGCATGCCTGTATCAAAGTATCTCATGTACCCCACAAATATATATACTTACTACATACTCACAAAAATTAAAAATTTAACACAAAGAAAGAAAACAGAAAAGAATTACATTCGAATGGTCATGTTAGAATAACAAGATAGCAGGTGCTTTTCCTTCTTTTTTTTGAGACAGGGTCTTGCTCTGTCAGCCAGGCTAGAGTGCAGTGGCATGCAGAGGCCAGCTCACTGCAGGCTCAACCTCCTAGGCTCAAGCAATCCACCCATATCAGCCTCCCTAGTAACTGGGACTACAGGTGCATGCCACTGTGCCCAGTTAATTTTTGTATTTTATTGTAGAGATGGGGTCTCGCCATGTTGCCCAAGCTGTTCTTGAACTCCTGGACTCGAGCAATCTACCCACTTTGGCCTCCCAAAGTACTGGGATTACAGGTGTGAACCACTGTGCCTGGCCCTCTATCTCTTCCTGTTTCTGCTAAAATGTACTTGTAAGTTTTATACTGACTACACTTAAAAGTATGAAACTTGTAAAGAAAAAGTCCTGGAAGGGTTTGTTCTTTACAAGGTCAGTCAGAAGCTACAAGGGCCCAGGCTGGGGCGAAGGTGTGGGCAGGTACATGCAGGGCCAGATGCTGGGTGTGGAATAGGTGGCAGGTGCTAGCTGGGCATGGAATGTGCACCCACTCCCTGACCTCTGCTCCCTGACTCTCAGAAGGAACTAGCACTGCCTGGAGAGAGGAAGAAGCAGAGTAAAGAGGCAGACTCTCTGGTTGGAGATCTCATAGCCAGGAACACAGTGAGAATAGATCCTAAGCCTGTCTGTCCAGAGCCCAGGCTCCCTTTCCCTACAACTGCAGCTTCCCTGCTCTGGTCTGGCCCAGCAGAGTGAGGAGGGGCCACCCGCCCAGCCATACCTGCTGGTGGCTGCTGGGGGTGCATGGTCAGAAGAGGAAAAGATGCGGTTCAGGTAGTCATTCAGCAGCTTCTCCTGCACAATGCCTGAGCCACAAGTCAGAAGGGAGAAAAGGGCCACATGATCAGTGCAGCTCCTGGCCCCTGCTGGTCCCAGGCCAGCCACAGGTGCAGCAAGGCCTGAGGCCTTTGTCCTTTCCTTCTCCTCCCAACAAGAGGAGCCTCCTTCCTTCCCTGCCAGCCCTTACCTGTGACCCTGGATTTCTCAGCATCTGAGGTCAGCCTATAGCTCTTGCGGGAGAAAGACATGCCGGCCCCCTTGGATGCCATCCTTCATCTCTCATGGGCAGTCAGTCGTCCTGGAGGCTGAGCCAGACACAGAGCCTGTCTACTCAGGGCCAGCCATGGGCCCTCACACCTGACCTCAGTCCTGCCACAGCAGGAAGGCTTGGGAGCAGGTGAGGCCAAGGTCATGCACACTAACACACAGGGCAGGGGAATGCAGGGGCTCCCAGCTTCCTACACAGGTAGGGTAGCCGGCGTCTAGGCCCCACACTTCTTGTTCTCCAGTGTCCCTGTGTCCAGCACAGGGCCTGGCAGAGAGCAGGTACCAGATATATTTTTGCCGAACCATAACTAAATGTCTCAGCTCTGTGGAAATCAGACCAAAATGTCCAAAGTGAGGTGTCCTAGAGGCAGACCCCCTGTATCCATCTCAGTTGTAAGCAAACTGGGTCCAGCTCACATCCAGAAGAGAGAATTCTACACATTCTCCCAAGTGCAGACCACCACTAGTCTGGTCATCGTTAGCCATAAGTCTCACTTACTCCCCACAAGGCTGGGGTCTCTTTCCTCCACCCTGGGTTCCTCCCTTTTTTTATCCATGGTCCTGAAAGTCTTCCTGTTCCCACTCACACATGTGGCCTCCCACCTCATCCAAGCACCACCCTTGCCCAGCCCTCATGGCAAACTCCATTGGTCCTCTACTGCAGCAATCTCTTATCATGTTACTATTGCAGCTGCTCCAGAACCTGCACTAAGTCCCCGGTGCTGGCCTCACTGATGTATAGCTGTGCTATCCAACACAGCAGCCACTACCCATATGAAGTTACTTAAATTGAAAGTTTTAAAAATTAACAATTCGATTTCTCAGTTGCCTTAGCCACATTTCAAAGAGTTCAATGACCACATGTGGCTAATGGTTACTCTACTGGACAGCACAAATATAGAACATTTCCACCATCATAGAAAGTTGTATTAGAAAGCGCAGGTCTGCCTTAGCCAGCACTCCCTACTCTGCAGCTCAGTCTCTTATCTCACCCCAAACAGCCCCTCTACTACCGCCAAACTCTTTCGGATCTGCACCACACCTGCCCCTTTGGGAAGGTGGTTTTCCCAACCTCGGGCCCTCGGTGGGCGTCTGTGATCGGTGCCCCTCTCACTACCAGAGTAGCTGAAGGTCTGATTAAACGCAGTCATTTATTTGATGAGCAAACCTTCCAGACACCCACTCAGGACGTCAGTTGCTGAGGATCCAGGTAAGAGGCGAACCCTGTGCCCGCCCGAAGACTTCCTGTCACGGCTATCCTGTCCAGCCCCGCCGAGGTATCCGGGCTCAGAACTGAACCTATTCCGTCTGGGAGCCCAAGGACAGTGAGGGCGGCGCATGGCTCCCCCAAGTCGCCCCCGCCTGGCCCCAAGCTCCAGAGGACCTGCCAGACCAACTCCCGCTCGGAGTCTCGCACCACAGGCCACGATCCCTACGCTGAGGTGCCCTCGCACTGGACTAGCCTGGGCCGCTAAGGAAGCCGCCCGGACCCGCCAGGCTGAGAGCCTGGCCGCCCCTCACTCACCCCGAGCCTTGGCCGCGGCGCCCCGGCTCACAACATCCGCCCAACCTCTTGGCTACGGCATCCGTCTAGGGCCAAATCACGCGCACGCCGGCGCGCCGCGCCTCCAGCTGCGCACGCGCACTGACCCCTGCCCAGCCTCCGCTAATGGACCCCTTCCACGGTCTCCCACCGAGTTGTTGTTCCAGGCCTCAGCTTCGCCGGAAGGCCTCACCACATCCGACCTCCGCCTGCCCTGAGGATGCTCCCAGCCCTGCTGTGGCAGAACGCGACGTACTAACCGGGATCCTTAGGCCGCCTGTCTCAACTCCTACCTGTACTTGGAGGCCCAGCTCAGATGTTCCTTAGGACGTCTGAAAGGCCGCTCCTGCCAGAGCCCTGCTACCTGTTACCTCCACCCCTACTTAGTCCTAGCGGACAGCCTCGCTCACCTTCCCTGGGATGACACTTCTGGCGGGTGAGATAGGCCTCCTCCCTGGGCTCTGCTGCCGGGCGTAGGATGACCTGCCTACAGCTGGGGCCTGATAAGGCGGCAGCAAAAGAGTTGGGGGCTGGGCAATGTTGGAGCTGGGGCAAGTAATTTTCCACAATTTACAGGTTAAAACTGAAGTTCAGAAAAGTTTAATGTCACCCAGGGCCTCTGGCACCTCTCACTTTCACAATGCCCTTGGGCTGACAAGGCTGCAGCGGGGCTTCACCCCAACCCCAGAGCACCTCAAGCGTCCCCACCAAACCTTCCTAGCATCTGTCCACTAAGTAGGGAGGCCTCTTGGGGGCTAGCTGTATTAGTCCCTTGCAACTGACCTGTGGGAAGTAAGAGTTCCTCTTCTGTTGAGAAACACTAAGTTTATCCTGCCCCTATGGCTCCTTTGTGGAGGATACCTTGTAGTTTGTAATTAGTCCCAGGCAGGTAACAGCTGCCTACTTCTAATATTCCTGAGTTACGTGTATATGTAAAACACCTGTGTATTAACAAGAATCACCTGTAAAAAAGCAAATAAATGTGTGGATGACTCTGCTCAGGGCCCCTGGAGAGCTGCAAGCCCCGCAGGCTCTCAGGCTGTTGGTTCCCCAGGATAAATCCACTCTGTTGGCTATCTGACTGCCTGTCTCAATACCTTCAGCCCGCCTGGGTGGGAGTCTCCTGGTCAAGCTGGTTCTCAGTACTCTTCAAAGTTTCCATTCTTGTTAAATAATAAATTATAAGTGTGCGAATAACTTTGTTAAGCCCTATCCTATGTAGCTGTTAGACATGCCACACTTATAGGCACATAGTATAGTCTGTGTCCTTGCACTTTAACCAAGATATCTGTGTTGGACATGCTCACAGGCATGTCCCAGCTCGCAGCCTGTGCCCCTACCTGTTTTAAAAAGTTTTAAGTTATTAGCCAGTTGGGTTTTAGATTGTGAGGTCTGATCTCTGTTGGAGCCAGTCAGGTTTTAGATTTTGAGGTCCAGCTCCAACGGAGATCAGACACAGCAGTAAAGACAACCCCAAATGCTTATGGGATAAATATGTCTGCTTTTCCTTTGTTCATTGTATTCTCATAGCAAAATGGCTAGCAAGAGGGTACCCTTCCTGCAGTGCAGGAAGTAAAAAAGTAAAAGTTGCTTTGCTGAGAGATCATTTGTCTCAGTGCTAATTTTTCTTTGTGGCACCGAGCATGTTTCCAACATGACCTATGGGACCTGAGGCCTGGCCCCTCATGGCTTCTGTCACCAGGTCTCAGGTCAGGGTCCAGCAGGCCTTGACCTGATGTGTGGAGCCAGAGCCACCCAATCCCGTAGGGACAGATTTCACAACTTCCCGGATGGGGCTGTGGTGGGTCACAGTGCAGCCTCCAGCCAGAAGGATGGGATGGTTCCCACTCCTGCTGCTTATGACGCAATGCTTAAGGGTCCCTGGTGAGTGCCCCCGATCCCGATCCCCAACTGCTTTCAGAAGGGGGTTGGCCCCATCCTACTATTCTAGTATGAGAGAAAAGTTGGGGAGCCAGAGGTTCAGTGGGCAGGGTGCAGTGACCTTGGCCTCAAGCATAGCTGGGAAGCCCTAGGAACATATACCCATTGCCCACTTAGGCCTCTATTAGCATGTCTGCTCTAGCACTGAAGCAGTGTTAGGACCACACAGATGCACACACACAGCAGGCAGTGACCCCTCCTGGTCCTGATCTACTCCTCTAACCTAGCATATGCCTTTGTGCAGGTGAAAGCCCAGATTTGGAGTCAGAATGCTTAGGCGGGGCCCCTGGCTGGGTAATGTGATGGCTCTGAGCGTTTGCATTCTCATTTGTGAGATGAGATGGGGCAAGTTCCATCACCCACTGCTCTCACAGAGAGTATGTTAGATCTGAGCCCAGTGCCTGGGCCACTAAACAGAGGCACCAGTGATAACTACCAAGTGTGGGCCTGCTTCCCAGGGGAAATTTTCTTTACAAGTATCTGTGCAGGGGTGCTAGACTGGCCCTTGAAAGTGCATACAGGGTCCATCCCAGAAGCCTTGTAGCTTTGGTCCCCTGAATGAACAAAGTGTGGGCATGCCAATACATGTTACTGACATGTATGCCCACCTGACCTGCACCCACTCATGCCCATCTGCAGGGCAGCACTCGCCATTAAATGACTTCCAGGTGCTCCGGGGCACAGAGCTACAGCACCTGCTACATGCAGAGGTGCCTGGGCCTTGGCAGGAGGATGTGGCAGATGCTGAAGAGTGTGCCGGTCGCTGTGGGCCCTTACTGGACTGCCGGTGAGTGGCCACTAGGTCTAGATAAGACTTGGGGCAGGGGAGCCTGGGCTGTGGTGTAACCCTGTGCCGCCTTCTCTCCAGGGCCTTCCACTACAATGTGAGCAGCCATGGTTGCCAACTGCTGCCATGGACTCAACACTCACCCCACACGAGGCTGCAGCGTTCTGGGCGCTGTGACCTCTTCCAGAAGAAAGGTGAGTGGGGGTGGAGAGGGTCAGGGTGGGAGACAGGGAATCTCAGCCCAAATTGATCTTCTGTCTCTTGCTCCCAGACTATATACGGACCTGCATCATGGACAATGGGATTGGGTACCGGGGCACCGTGGCTACAACCTCAAGTGGCCTGCCCTGCCAGGCTTGGAGCCACAAGTTCCCGAATGATCACAAGTGAGACAAACACCTTCCCTTCATTCCAGCCTGGGGCCTTCCCCCAGCACACACTATAGTGATGTTCTGGACCCTTAGGTACACGCCCACACTCCGGAATGGCCTGGAAGAGAACTTCTGCCGTAACCCTGATGGCGACCCAGGAGGTCCTTGGTGCTACACGACAGACCCTGCTGTGCGCTTCCAGAGCTGTGGCATCAAATCCTGCCGGGAGGGTAAGTGGCGCTGGGTCAAGCCTGGAGAGTGGAGGGACAGGCCCACGCCAATCCACGAACCCACTGGTCCTTTGTCTCCAGCCATATGTGTTTGGTGCAATGGTGAGGATTACCGTGGCGCGGTGGACCGCACTGAGTCAGGGCGCGAGTGCCAGCGCTGGGATCTCCAGCACCCACACCAGCACCCCTTCGAGCCGAGCAAGTATGCATGGGCAGTTTTGGCGTTCTGGGGGCCGGGCTAGGGAAGGTCCAGGACTCCAGGAGCAGGGCTCCGTGTAGGGCAATTGGGCGGGGCCAGACAAGCCAGAGTCCCAGGGTCTTGCTCATGCCCCGTTACCACCCCAGGTTCCTTGACCAAGGTCTGGACGACAACTATTGCCGGAATCCTGATGGCTCCGAGCGGCCCTGGTGCTACACTACAGATCCGCAGCTTGAGCGAGAGTTCTGTGACCTCCCCCGCTGTGGTAAGCGGTGGGGACTGGGCCTGGGAGGGTACCTGGGAACCTTTTGGGGGGAGTGTGGCTCGGGTGGGGAGGGAAGAGTAGCTGGGTGTGACCTGAAAGCATATCCCGTGGAGTACCGTACACCTGCGAAAGGCGGGTTTGGTCCCAGCCCCAGAGGGATCTCAGCTCCCGCTTGGGGTCCAATCTGTTTTGGTCCATCTAAGAGTCTGAGGCACAGCCCCGCCACAAGGCCACCACTGTCAGCTGCTTCCGCGGAAAGGGTGAGGGCTACCGGGGCACAGCCAATACCACTGCCGCAGGTGTACCTTGCCAGCGTTGGGACGCGCAGACCCCACATCAGCACCGATTTGTGCCCGAAAAATATGCGTGCAAGTGAGGTGGGGGCGGGCGCTGGGACGTGCTGCCGTGGGTGAGATGGGTGAAGGGCAGTTACAGGACTTAGGGCTGGTGGCTGGCGGGCTAAGGCTGAGTGGAGCTCCTGCTTAGAGACCTTCGGGAAAACTTCTGCCGGAACCCTGATGGCTCAGAGGCACCCTGGTGCTTCACACTGCGGCCAGGCATGCGTATGGCCTTTTGTTACCAGATCCGGCGTTGTGCGGACGATGTGCGGCCTGAGGGTGAGGCCCGAGCTTGGCGGGGGGGGGGCACAGAGCCAGGGCTGGAAGCCTGAAACCGGGGTGGGGCAGGGCAGGGGCAAGGTCTTAGCCTGATGACTGCCCCCACCTGCTGCAGACTGCTACCATGGCACAGGGGAGCAGTACCGTGGCACCATCAGCAAGACCCGCAAGGGTGTCCAGTGCCAGCACTGGTCCGCTGAGACACCACACAAGCCGCAGTGAGTCCCTGGTGCTCCCGGCTGAGCCAGGGCCCTAACCCTGGAGCGGCATGCTTTGGTGTCTGGGACCAGAGCCTGGAGATGGTAGAGACTATCCTGCCATGACTTTGCTCCCCCTCCTGCCTAGGTTCACATCTACCTCCAAACCGCATGCCCAACTGGAGGAGAACTTTTGCAGGAACCCAGACGGGGATAGCCATGGGCCCTGGTGCTACACAATGGACCCAAAGACCCCATTTGACTACTGTGCCCTGAGACGCTGCGGTGAGCTCTAGTGATGCTCCCCCATGCCCTGCTTTGGCCCCTACCACCAAAGCCTGGCTCCCTTAACCCAAGTGAACTTTGTCTTTCAGTTGATGACCAGCCGCCATCAATCCTGGACCCCCCAGGTTAGGATTTGGGCCAGTTATGGGTCAGGCCCTTTTGCCCACCATGTCCATGCAGTCTGGGTTTCAACCAGCCCACCCCATCCTCCAGACCAGGTGCGGTTTGAGAAGTGTGGCAAGAGGGTGGATCGGCCAGATCAGCGTCATTCCAGGCTGCGTGTGGTGGGGGGCCATCAAGGCAACTCACCTTGGACAGTCAGCTTGCGGAATCGGTGAGGCACAGCTGCCT